TGATATCTGCCTTACCTATGTAGTAGTGTGTGAGTTGAATAGGAATAGGATTGGCAGGTCATGTAATACTTGAGTTTCTGGGCCGCTTTCCAGAAAAGTTACACAAGCTGAGTCGTCACTGTGAATCTGAAACGAGATACTTACAGAGATCTCTATCCTGCTTTGTCACTGTGGTGCCCTTGAGCGTGACACTTAACCAAAAGTTACTCAAGTCCAGTATGACTGTTGCAATCAGCCTACATTAGGGATGTCCAGTCCTGAAGAGCCATTGTCCTGTTCTAATCTGACCCAACACATGGTGCTGAAACATTCCAAACTCCAATACCAAAATGTAAACATGCTAGTCTTTTTTTTTAAGGACATAATGAAGCATCACAGACCATTTGTATCCCAGGCTATTTATGATTTTAGCTTTCAGAAAGTGCACACAGGTACCCACATTTTTCAAATGATTTATGTAAAAGATGGGGTGATCCTGATAATCCTTTTTAAAGAGGATCCTTCACAACAGACTTCTAATTGACAGTAGTACCCAAGCAGCATCACATAACTAAAGTCTGGACTTCAAGGTGAACTGCAAGAGTTTGGGGTGCCAATTTGGATTAGCCCTAGTAACTCTAAACATCCTGGTTCAGTTGGTCTTGATGGACCTTTGTCACATTTCTGGGTTTCTCAGTAGTTACAGAGAAGCTACAGGAAGGCTACATAGTTGGCTACATTAACATTTAAAAGGAATGTGATTTAGGTCAGCTTACAAAAAGCTCTATGTGTTTATCTTTGTTTCATTTCCTTGCAAATGCAACCATTTCAGATTGCGATCCTAGATGACTAATGATGGCACTTTAGTCTCATTTAAGCTGGTGGCTAGATCTGTGTTTACTTAAACACTTGTGTCATTGTGAGAGAGAGAAAGAGAGAGAGAGAAAGCGCTGTTAGTGCTGAGTGCTGGAGTGAGGCCGGGCAGAAGGCCATGCTTAGAGATCAGAGACCCAGTGAAGTGCAAAATCAGCCAGTAGATCTTGTGCCATTTCCTTTGCTATGCATTATTTACAACCCCAATAGTCAGGAGCATGAAAAATGAAGCTTGTGTGTATGTGCATTCGGCGGGATGGCTTTGAAAGCTTTGTTTCTTGGTCTGGCAAGTTTAAAATGTTGAGTTTTGTTCTAATGCAATTATTTTCCTTGCAGATGTTCCTCCGCCGCTGTGCTGTGTTGGACCAATAACTGCAAGCAAGTTGTGGACCATGCACGTTAATGTTTATTTCACACTTGCAAAGGTACACAGTTCCTAACATAGAAAAACAGATATACAAGTGAACCAAGAATCCAGAGTTTTAGATAATAAATCACAGTTTTAAAAGACACATAGCAGCATTTTTGCATCTCATTCATATTGGCATAGTGGTTGGTAACAACTCAGCATAACAAAAGAGTTCTGAAAGAGCATTGATTCATAAAACAGTAAAGGATACACTATAATGAAAGGTGTTTAGTGCTAACAGTCTGTTTTCCCTAAGAGATTATGCATAATGACATGAGTATATTGATGAAAAATAACTAATAAAGTGCTTTGAGATCTATAACAGGGCAGTTAAATACTTAATTCAGTGTGAAGATCAGCAAACTGAAACATTTCGTCCCTTCCATCTCGCTCTAACCAGATAAGTGCTGTTATGTATCTGTATATTCTTTTTTTTGACAAACTTATAATTGATCAGTTTAATTTTGACTTTTTAATATTAGCAGAACGATGTATTAGCAATCACAGAGATGCAATAAACACCGTGAGACGTGTCAAAGAAAAGTTCACCATGTCCTAACCGGACGCAATTCAATATGACATCATGCGATAAAAGGTTTTCCATGTTTGTGTCTTTATCAGCCATAAGGGAGATAAACGACGGGTGACAAGGGATTCTGCTTAATGCTGGGTTCATACTACACCATATTTTTGTCTGTTAAATTGGATTTTAGACTATATGCAATAGTTTAACAAAATAATTAATTATATTAGGAGACTTTAATTTGAGTTTTTTGCACCAGAATAGTTGCAGAAAGAGATAGCTGAGATTTATTCCTGACTTTAGTTTCTAAATGAGTAATTTTAGCCAATAATTCAATTATCTATTAATGATAATTAATTTCTGAATGAATCAACATTTTTGACTAAATCGATTGAATTAGTAGTGAATTAATTGCACAAGACAAGCTTGCCGCCACCTACTGGTTTAGTGTTATATTTAGTGAACGGCTTTAGCCATTCCTCCATACAAATGTAATATTAGTTCATTGAGCTAACTCTTTTTGAAAACTGTAAAATAAAAAAATAAAAAAAATAAATTAAAAAAATATATATATATATATATTTTAAAGGTGAGAATTTTGATAATCTGCAGTTCATAGAGTGTTTTTTTTTCCTTTGAAAGTTAACTAATTTATCTGCCGATAGGAAAGCATATGTAATATTAAAATATAATTTTTTGTGGTTTAAACTAGGGCTGCACAATATACCGTTTCAGCATCAATATCGCAATGTGCGAGAGTGCAATAGTCATTTCGCAGAATCTGCAACGTCAAGTTGTGATTATAATTTACCAGACGTAACAGTTCACAACATAGTGGCATCATTTCATTTCATTTCCACACTGAAGAATAAGATCAGTAACTTTATACAGTGATCATTTCATTTCTGTTGCTGAAAACTGTTCGACTGCCCAGAAATTCATAAGTCATTGCTTATTTTATTTGAATACTTGCTCTGTTATATGTATTTAACTTTGCTTATTGTTTTTTTTTAATTGTATTCAGTGGCGGATTTAGTCATGGGCAATCGCCCAGGGCGCCATCTTGCTGGGGGTGGCATGGGGGAAGCAAAAAAAGTGCCCAGTAAAAGCTTTGAGATAAGATTAACTTTATGCAAGTGTATTGAGTGGTTATCCAAGAATAAAGATGTTAGGGGCCATTACCAATTCAATTCACAACTCAAGTTTCTTATTCTTTATGTGCAACCGAAACAACGCTGGTGAAAACAAATAGACGCAGGCAGCTGCTCAGAAAGCCATTCCTGCACGCCTCACACACGCTGATCATCATTCCGGTTGTTTACATGCACGTCGACATGCAAGTCAACAACACTAAATATTAACATATTATAAAATATGGTCATGATGTTACTTTGACTGAGCATGACTATGAAGCAGAAAGGAGGAATAATCGGTCAGGGAGGTAGACCTCATAACATCAATTCTAGGCCATGAGCCGGGTCTAAGACAACAGATAATTCTATAAAACATACGTCATGCAAAAGTCTTAGAATATTTTTTTGCAACTGTGTCATTACATTTCAGTTACATTTAGGATTGATGTCTGTAATTTTTTAGAATAAAAGTTGTGTAATATTAAAAAAATAATAAACAAATAACTTATATTTTTAAAAAATAAATAAATATATTTAAATGTATTTATAATAATTATTTTAAATGTGTATATATATATATATATATATATACACACACACACACACACACACACATATATATATATATATATATATATATATATATATATATATATATATATATATATATATATATATATATATTTAAAATATACACATATACATATAATATATATATTATATTATATATATAAATTATTTCTTGGGGGATGGTTGAAGGGGGGTGTTTGGGGTGGTTTCGCCCAGGGTGCCATTTAAACTAGAACCGCCACTGATTGTATTTTACGCACATACACTGTCCTATAAAATATCATGCAGCCCTAGTTTGAACCCAGCATTAAAATGCAATGTGATAATCTCAGGTACTGACTGAAAATTATAATGTTAAAAAAAAAATATATATATATTAATTCACTACTTCATTTCTAATTCTTGATGTTATAAAAAGAATCATAAAAACTGAGAGAAAAAAAAACTAGTAAATCACATGACAAAGATGGTAACAGTCATTCAGCATGTATTTTAACAATGCTCTGGTTATTTTGTATTATGCGTTATAAACTTGTCACTTGCAGACGATCATGCCTACACTCTCTTCTGATTGGCTGTGACATTGTTTTGTATCTTTTGTTACGTCATGTAACTCTGTCAAGACAAGAGTCTTATCACGTTGCGTCTGGTTAGGACACGGTCTTACACACAAGCTCATTCTTGAAGATAGAAAGTGTTTTGTCCACCCACAGCATGCCTAAATATTTCTATAAATATGTTGATATATATCTCATATTTATAAGGGTTAAGTAGGGAGATTTATGACCGGGAGTCTGACATTCTGTCCTGGAAAGAACCCGGGGAAGGATGAATAGTCCTGTGGTGCGTTTAGCATACTGATATAAAGGTCTTGGCACAGAATGGTGCTGGCCGCCGCATGCCTCTAGATGAATGTCCATGCTCCAGCAGTTTTTGTTAGGAAAGAGAGGCCTGGCATGCGTATCGTTACAGTCTTACCTCTCTAAAGAAAACTAGACTAGTACAGGACGTGTAATGAGAGGCTGAGCTCTCCATGAATGCTGTGTCTTTGACAGAATATAGCATTTGACACACTACGGACAACGATGTACAGTCCCATCTGTAGACTCCCACTACTACTCTCACAGATTAAAAAAAGATATAGTCATTGAAAATGCTGACACTTATTCACATACAAGGTCAGACATGCACGTGGTCATTTGTTTGAAATCCAAACCTACAAAATAAATGGAGAAAAATGAAACCTCCAACCCCAGTGTCCGTTTCTACACCTGACATGGATAAGTCGACCCTAGTTCAATCCCTCAGCTCAGACTCCACATAGAAATCTTTTCTATAAAACATACATCAGTAGTTAATTAGTTGCAAATATTTCTGTGCATAATTTTCAAATGCAAGATCGACCAGGAGTAATATAAGGTTAAAATGCAGCTGTGTGTAGACGTTTTCCATCTTTGAAAAAAGAAAAGAAAAGAAGAAGTCCTTGTCCTTTGTGTCATCATCCACAGGCCACTTTTTTTTGCCGATACAGCAGTATTTCTCATTTACATAATGCAAGCCATCACTGTTCTTTTTAACATATGGGATTTTGAATTTATTTAATTTTTTCACTGAGCATGCTAACCTACTGCATGCATTTTCGCTACTTAATCAGATCTTATTTAGTCGCGACAGTCCTCGTTTCTTTTTCATCTTCTGTGGCGTTATTGATAAGAGGGAGATCTTGTTTTAATTACATCATCTGTGGGTTTTTTTGCAGTAGTAGTAGTAGTAGTAGTAGTCATCTTTACTTTGTCCCCTTTCCGGTTACTGCAAATATAGAGAGAAAAAAACAGCAGTGTCTGAATTATAACATCAGCATTGATTAAAAAAAAAACACATGTAATTTATCAAACCACAAGTTTGTGACCTGCTCTATCATACCGAGTCTGAATTATCTTTGACAAAATGAGATATGTGACCCTGCACCATTAAACAGGGGGGCTGCATTTATACATTTTTGCCATTAACCAAAAATACATTAGTTTGTGCCAAAAATCATTAGAATATTAAGAAAATATAATCTTCGATTAACATATTTAGTATATTTTTTAATTAGTAATGTTCATTTAGACAGCTTTAAATGTGATTTTTGTAATATTTTCATATTCCAGATTTTTAATTGATTGTAATATTACTAAAGCAAAACCATACATTAATCAAAGCTTTCAGTGCTCAGCATAATGGAGTACACCCCATTTTGAAAATGCATATTGGTAACCAATTTCTCAGGGAATATAGGCATGGTATTTTGGTGCATATAAACAAAACAGATTCATTAAACAGATATATTATTGAAAATATTTTTTTTCACCAAACATATTTAGAAATTTAAAGATAATACAATTTAATTCAAGCAAAATATTGCATAAAAAATTACAACTGAATTTTAACTTCTTTTTTTTTTGTTGCTTCTCTTGATTTTATCTTTTTTTCAATAACATATCAATTTTGTACTAGTTTTTGGACTTTTATCATAAGTTATTTTGTTAGAAAAGCTAAACATTTGGCTTCAAACACTACTGTCTAATCTAATGTATATGCACGAATATAATATTGTATAGCTTCCTATTAAAAATATGAACTTAAAAGAGAGATTTGTGAGGGGTGTACTTACAGTATACAGTTGAAGTCAGAATTATTAGTCCCCCTTTGAATTGTTTTTTTCTTTTTTAAATATTTCCCAAATTATGTTTAACAGAGCAAGGAAATTGTCACAGTTTGTCTGATAATATTTTTTCTACTGGAGAAAGTCTTATTTGTTTTATTTTTTATTTTTGGTCCAACTTTTTAGGTCCTGGGTCACAGTTATAACAATTTAAACTCTTTCCATCCTAACCTTTTAAAAAGAATTCATTACATTGCTAAAAAAAATAGATGTAATGTTTTTTTTGTTTTTTTTTTGCCTCAAACCAAGTACAGCCATTTATTCACACTCATGATGTTTCAAACCCATAAGTATTTTATTTCATCTTAATAATACAATCTGAGATTTGTGCCTCTTCATTGAAAATCTGTTTACTCAAAACTCTGATGCATTCATGAACTGGAAAGAAAATCCACATGAGTCAGAGCATCTTGTGAAGACATGATTGCTTTATATAATGGACAGATTTAACCTAAGCTTCTATCCACATGAGAACTGATCAGTTTACAGTGTTCAGACTTGGAAACTCAAGCATGTTTGATCAATGCAAAAGAACCAATGAGGTCAATAAAGTTTGTTATTACATATTAATTCAGGTATGACTGCACTTGTTTATCTTAATAGCTAGTCCTGGATAAAATATGTTTTAAGTGATTGTGTCTCTTCAGGATACTTTGATTAAGCCACTTAATTTCTTGAATGAATGTTTTGAAGTTTCAGAGTTTTAAGTGAACAAACTTTTAATGGATGAAGAGAAATCTCACAGATTTGATTTAAGATTTCTTCATTTGAAGAAATATCTTCTTGAGCAAAGGTTTTACGGATCTAGAACAACATGAAGGTTAGTAAATAATGGTAATTAAATAAACAAATAAATAATACTCATTATACTTTTGGAAGAAAAACACTTGCAAGGGAAATTTCACCCAATAATTTTAATTCTGCCCTCAATTAATCATCGTCTAAATATTTCAAGTATTTTTTTGTTCAGTTCAACACAAAAGAAGACATATTCAATAATGTTGGAGACCTGTAACCATTGACGTCCATAGTATGTTTTTTCTACTGGTTACAGGTTTTTAACATTCTTCTAAGTATCTTCTTTTATGTTCAACTAAGAAAAAAAGCTTAAAACAATTTGGTTTTGATAAAGTAAATTGTTAGTAAATAATAGCAGGATTGTCATGTTGTAATGGTGAGTATCCCTTTATGGTTCTGTGTTCTTACTATTCAATTTAATTCAAGTGTCTTTGTACAGAGCTTTTCACAATAATTATTCCAAAGCAGCTTAACAAAAGGTGCAGATTATGTTGCAATCAAAAACTTACTGTAAAGTTAGGATTAAGTTTAGCATTCAATTATGTATAATTTACTGGTTTTAGTTTAATAACTATTTGATAATAATAATAAAATAATAATAAAATGTATCACGGTTTTGATAAAAATATTAATCATTGATAACAATTATACTAATAATTACCAGAAATGTTTGATGGCATATTAGAATTAAGCAACAGCATTTATTATGTTAATGTTGTGATAATTTTTCCTCAATATTTCACTTTATCAATGATAAAACAATAGTCAAAATGCAAGTGTTTTGCTTATAAACACTCAATCGTGTCATCCAGCTCATAGTAACAGTGTCACATCTATCTTATATGGTAGTTGCTAAACTTGACTGTTAAAGTAATGACATATACAGACATGTAATTATACATACCTGCAACCACCACATATATTATGATGCTCAGGAGGCCCACGATGATGGCCACACAGCTAAGCAGACGAGCCAAACGTCCCAAACGTCTTGCCCCATCCATATCCCCCTGCTGTAGACTGTTTCTGGACTGCAATGAGAGTAGACATATACAAAAAATCAATAATTCAATAGATCACGATAACAAACATGCATTATATTGATATCATGGGCACTTCAAAATACTGTGAATAAGTCCAAAATCAAACAAAAAGTTTTCAGGGGTAACTTAATTAATGTGTCTGTGATCCCTGCGTAAGTGATTCATCAAAATAAACAGAAAAAGGTATGTCTAAGGCACTCGAAAATTTGCAAAAAAAAATATTAAAAAGCCTGTATTGACATGGCTGTTCCTTAAAATTGTACCTACATATTTTGACAAACACTTTCTTTCATCAAGGTAACCAAATGAAGAAGTTAAATAAATGAATAAGTATTTAATCTTTCAGTGTTTTGTAAGAATATGCACATTGTATTTGCAATTGTTCATAACAGCAATAAAGGCGTGGAGACTTTTTCAAGTTTATCTAGCCTACTACATGCTGAAATAGATCATGTTTAAAAATTCTGTGATTATTTAATGGGCTGTTGTGCAGTTAATAGAAATGCTACTCTTACAATGAAAACTACTAAATCTTTCATTAATCTTAGATGATGGAAATTTCTTAGTTAACGCCATACACTAGATGTTGCCTACGCTATTGTTGTCTATTGGAAGGAATGTGTCAATAGAGCCGCATTTTAGTAAAAGGCAGTGCTGCTTTGAAATGAATGTGGGACCAGGTGCAGCATCCGGAGCCAGAGATATATAACCATTCATTATAATAATAATAATTCCTTACATTTATATAGTCTTTTTCTAGACACTCGCAGCGATTTAGACCTCATCCACCACCAATATGCAGCATCCACCTGATAAGACGGCAGCCATATTGCACCAGACCACACACCAGCTGATTGGTGTGGAGGAGACAGAGTGATGAAGCCAATTATGATATGGGGATGGTTAGGAGGCCATGATGGACAAAGGCCAGTGGGCAAATTTTGGCCAGGATGCCGGGGTTAAACCACTACTCTTTTGAAGAACAACCTGGGATTTTTAATAACTACAGAGAGTCAGGACCTCGGTTTAACATCTCAGCAGTATAGAGTCCCCTTCATTAAACTGGGGCGTTAGGGCCCTCACAGACTGCAGATTGAGTGTCCCCTGCTGCCCTTACTAACACCACCTGCAGCAAACTAGCTTTCCCATGTGGTCTCCGGTTCAGGTACTGATCATGCGCAGCCTTGCTGAACTTAGGGTGACTATGTGAGAGTTGCAGAGAGCTAGCTGCCGGCTAATAGTGAACACGAGTTTATACACATATCTATGATTGGGAGTTTTCCCGGTGCTCAGTATGCAAAATTTTCTTTTAAATTACGAAAATGATCATTTTTATATATCACTTTTATATATTGATGTATAAGTGATTGCACGGGCATTGCTGACAAAGAGTGTGTGTTTAAGTGCATGGAAATGTATTATCCTCCCTCCCTGTTAAATTTGATCTAATCCATGTCCTGATACACACCCCCTCTCCTGCGCTCACTTCTCTATCTAACAGAGGGAGCGATTTGTTTGTGAATGCCGCGGCATCTTGTTGTCAAATTTCATTTGCATTGTTTGCTTATTTTATTCAACTAAACTAGCATAAGCCTAGTATTTAGAGCAAGTTGCTACAGTTGTACACAGTGCTTAAGTCCAGCATCTTCAGATTGGCTTTAGTTTTAACTAGTGCGGTTGATTGACTTTGTGCTGGAAGCACTGTACAAATGTGGTGGCTTTATTGACGCATGCTCAGGGTCCGTATGCGATATCTAGTTTATAAATCTATGAGTTAATGCTTAATAACACTTTAGAATCATAGTTGTACACGTTATAATCATTGCAATACATCCTTATAATATTCTTGCAGCTTAATTTGTTTGTTTACTCTAAATATGTGTATAAAATAAAGCAATACACCAAGTATTTTTCTTTTGTTATTAAACCTGTTTAGAAACTAACCGTTTCTCCAGCGTAAGCAATTCATTGCAACTAGAAAATCTGCCAAAATGAGAGGAAAAAAGTGAAATAAAATGACAATGTCACAAGAATCAAAACCGTATTTACATTTTAATCTGTTGTAATAGATCAAAGCTATCGATTGGATCCAGAAGGCATGTAAGGAAGCAAAAGGTCAGAGGTGACAGTGTGAATTGTGGAAGTGATTGGGATACAGGATGAGGTGAGCCGATAAGCGTGTTTCCTTATTAGTGCAGTTCTATGCCACAGCCACCCATTAGATGCTCAGTGTACCCCAGGGAGAGCGTCTCCAGTAGACTGCATTAAAGTAATCAATACCGAGCAATAGATTGTGCAGGAAAAAGCCTCCGACACAGTGGCCAAACAATCTCCCTACACTCAAATGCTAATTCCATTCGCAATCACGTTGGTGTGTTGGTTTTTCTCTCGCGATGTGACGTAAACTGGCATCATCATAAAAAAAAAGCTCAGAGTGCAGTCGCTGTCCAAGGTGCTGAATAGACTTTGATCAGCTTCCCAAAGCACTGAGCAGAAAGTGAATTGTACTTAATCTCTACGGCACGATTCCCAAAAGCACTGCTATTTTAGTAGCACATGAAAAGAGACTTGTAATTTGAGCTGAATCTTCTTGCTCTTGTTTATCTGAGACAAAGAAACACTAATTTTTAATTGTAGTGTTTAGTATTCTTGAAATTCTACTACAGCTTTTATTGAGATTTGGGTTTTATTTTTATATATATATTAGTTTTTATTATCATGTTGTTAAACTAAATAGAAATGTAGAATCTTGCATGGGTGACTATTAAATGAAATGTATAGTTTTAGAATCTGTCCCTGCTAACCATTTGATTGCGCATTTGGTGGGGTGGTAGTTCTGTGGTATTGTCATTTTATCGGTTTTCTGCCACAATATTCTTAACCATGCCCCTCTTATCAGTAGTTTGCTTCACGGAAATGATACCTAAAAAGAAAGCCCCGCCCACTACTCAATATTCTGTTTCATATGAAGAACATCAGCAAACTGAAAATTAAAGTTTCAGCAACTTCGGCTGAAATTAAGTAACATTCTAAAAATTATTTCCAGCCTTTGAAAAGTTTTTGTCGACTTCTCCTAACCTGTGGTTTTCTACAACTTCATCCCGAAGGTCTTTCGAAAGCAGAGTTTAATGTGATTAAATATATAGATTTTCACAGGGTATGATGATTTACTGTAAAAGACCTGAATTTGTCAGGGTAAAATTGATGTTGATCTAATTGAGCTTAACTAATCCAGTAACCAATATGTTTTTATACTGTAACTATGATAACAACATTTTTTAAACATCTACACTCCCAACAGTCCCAAAAGTGCTATTTGTTGCAAAGGCATTGGAGAATCTTTTTTGTGTTCCACAAAGAACCTTTCATTGAAGTTTTTCTCTTGGTGCTAATAACTTTTAAATAATCTAAAAGAAAACTGACCTATCGAGATGCCAAGTTTTTTCAATAGAAATTTTCTATTTTTGGTGTAAAAGAGAGATTAGCAATTAGGAAAATGGATATAAAACAAGTTATTTAGCTCTGATTTGGTGGAAAAAAGCACAACATGGCTATATTAGGAATGCCATGCTAAAAAGTCAACTGAAAGTATTGCCAGTAACACTCAGTCTAGTAGCAAGCAACAGCAAAGCACAATTTTAGAGTTGTTTGTGGCTGTATGCATCATATGAATGAACATATTCACAAACATATTCTATCCATTTTGCAATTCCACAGCTGTACATTGAATGTCGTGATATTTTGTGTAGCATCTATGTTGATAACTATTTTGTTTTTAGACAATATAAGTTACAGAAAGGCTCCCATCAGCCATGTTAGTTTGCTAAGTGTTCTGTGTTTTTATAATTATTTTTTTGTTTGTATAATAAGTTACACTATGTCCATAATTTGAGTTGAACTTGTTTACAGACAGGAAAGGTCATCTTATTTGTGCTTACAGTTTGCTCAGGAGAAAAACGAGTGTTCAATTTCTGAATACTTAAAAACAAATTTGAATAAATGTTGGAGTTAGTCAATATCTTCTCAGTTTATTTTTTAAACTGACACTCACTGCATCTAAGCAGTAAGAAGCTACGATACAGATTATTGAGCTGAAGTTTGTTTGCAAAATTCAATATCAAATCGCAATATCTGTCAAAAAAATTGCAATTAGATATTTTCCCCAGATCGCACAGCCCTACTTAAAACATTGCATAATGTTACTGTACATACAGTACACTACATAAATGGTTCTAACCAGAGCAAAAAGCCGCCTTCACATGTATCTCTGGTGAATGTACAACCAAAGTCTGAACGGCCGACTGAGGAACCATCACACTCTTAATCATGTCTTCAGCGTTCACTTAAAGCAGACGCTAGAGCAATAGCAGATAGGATTACAGCTCTATCAAACTGGTTTTGTTGGAGAAACTGAAGAGCTTCCTCCATCACATACACACAACCCTCCCTCACCCACAGGGAGGCTCCTCTTCCACAGGACTGCCTGTTGCCTTTGGAGCCATGGGGCCGGGTTTACAAAGAGCCTGTGCCAGCGCTAACCCCTTTTGACATTGAAAAATGATGGTCAGGATTTACTAAAGACACTTGGTGAAAAATTGCCAATGAAAAGGAGTGGATAGCGTTATTTATGAGGCTGACCTTATTGTAGTTTCCCTTTCAGATGCTAAATTTATGGGAGGAGAGTATTTAAATAAATCATGCAATGAAATGTATTATGTTTGTTGGGAATCAAATTGCTGTTTTTATATTTAATGACCAAAAACTTGCATAAATAGTATTATTTTAAATTATTTTTTAACATTTAATTATATTTACATTTAATTCAATATTCAATTAATATTTTGATCCATCAAAATCCTTAAGATATGCTGATTTGCTGCTCCAATTATTATAATGCTAATGATTCCTTGTGCAGTTTTGTGAAAACCAACTCTTTTAAAGTTCAAAAGACCAGTACATTTTTTATTTAATTACAATCTTTTGAAACA